ATGTGATGTTCCGTCTTCCTCCGACTTATGGCCTTATTTAGTGGTTTTTCTTTTTAACCAACGCAAAATTTGCAAATGTGTTAGTAACTTGCTGTCTCCACAGGCAAAAGTTTTTATCTTGATAATGTTATCAGGCAAAATTTTGCCTATGAAGACCGCATATTGCTCTTGACAAGCAATAATTATCAGAGCTTTTATCTTGATAAATATTGCCAGCAATTTGGTACTTTGACAGCTACAATTTCATTTGCGCGATAGCTTCGTGGAGACAACATTATCGATATTTCAATAGGTGCAATCGCGTATTCCTCGGACTCGGACTAGTAAAACTGTCAAAAAATAAAAATTCGCTCCGAGCGAGAGAGTAACATTGAAAAGTACGGGATCGCTTTCTAGTAAAAAATGGTAACTTCTGTCAACTTCAACATAACCTCCAAATTTTGGTTGTAAATTTTTGCTAATTTTGTATGTAAAAACACTCAGCTCACACATGTAAATAACCAAAAATACTTTCAAATTAGTTAGAATCCACTTAAACAAGTAATTAAATACTTTTCAACATGAATTAGCAGAGTGCACTCTTCTTTTGTTTACAATTTGGTTGCCAAACACACTACAGCTGATCGGTTGACACATTTACCAGAATTTACCAGCAAAAAATTCTCGGACTAAAACTGGTAACTTCTGACAGAGAGAGAACCGTATTTACTCTCTTTTTTGTCCCCTCAATAGTCAGAGAACAGAGTACGGGATCGATTTCCAGTAAAATCTGACTGATTCTGACTATTTCTGACTAGTCCGGACTCGTACGGGATCGCAACTAATATAAAAGCAAAAATTGAACCGTTTTCTATTAAAATATGTGTTATTATTTGCTTGGGTGTGAAATAACATACATTTTAAACTTTTTAATTGATGAAATCCGGCAAAAATTGCCATCTTATAAATGCTTTTATCATGATAAAAAACGCCCACGCACAAATATTGCCGCTGATAAAATTTTTATCAGGCAATAAAAATGACAGTTGGTAGGCAGCCCTTCATTTCTCCATCAACCCTCAACGTCTATGACCACAGCCAATAGTTCAACACCAAAAATGTTAGTCACTGTTGTGCCGCTTAACATAGAATGGGTTCTAGACTCACTGAATACGTTATAAACGCAGCATTATTTAGAGCATCAAAAGCAGAATCAAGGTCAACAGCTGATGCAGCGGTATCATGTCTCAGCAACAACAACAATATTCTAGCGCATTTAATTATTTTTGTCGTCGTTGTCATAACCAAAAACATTTTTAGTTATTACTAAATTCAAATTATTTCTATATTTATATTTATTTTGTACGCTCCTTCTAATATTCGTTAACCTATCGTTTTAATACCTTGTTCTTTTATACCTGTACAATTTGTATTTGTTCTGTTGTTCCTAAATTTTATTAGAATTTCTAAATGAAAAGTTTTTAAAATCATTAAAATAAAAATCTTCAAATTACCAACATAAAACATTCTATTGAGCAATAAATAATTCAAAATTTAAAATAAGAAAATATCATCATGATATAATGGCATGATGCTTAATGTAATTCACATTAAAAAATATAATTGTTTGTGGTGCTTTTAGAGAAAGTTTTTCAGTGCACGGCCGTGTTTTAAACTAATTTTAAACGCCCGATCTGGCTGGTTTAAACCAAGGCGTATTTAACAAGGTGGTGTTGGCCGTATATAAGTAAAAAATTACACTAACAAATTATACGCTGATGTCCATACTGTCATTGGTATGAGTTACAACAAACACATCATTTTGACGTAATGGCCTCCACGGCGAAAACCTCAGCTGTCGCCCCAACACCACCTTGTTTAATACACCTTGGTTTAAACTAAGGTCAGCCAATCAAATGTCAGCCAGCTGTTCATTTTAAACTCAGTTTACTTAATCTAAGTTTAAACCGTTTTCACCAACTATGGTTAACACTAATCCCCAGTTGAACATCGTTGCCGCCGTTACTGACACAGTGTTATATGCAAGCAGTCAGTAACGTCGATAACGATATTTGATCGGAGATTAGTGTTAGGGCCGGTTGTTCAATGTCTGGTTATCACTACTTGCCGGTTAAATATCACTATCGACATTTTCGACAACATTCATATAACATGTCATCGATAAAGCAGTCGTTGTGTTTAACCTGAGCTTCTACCTCCGATTAGTGCAAATCAGACATTGAAAAACCGACTGCAAAGTTACTGGATATTTTGATTTTACAACGCTTTTATCAACTTGCAATATTGTGTGTCCAATCACTTGCAATGTTGTGTGTCCAGTAGATTGTTTCTGTAACAATTCTCTACCAAGGCGAATTGAGATATGAATCCGCCGCCCTGTTCTCTACTGCTAAAGAGTAGGAGAGAATGACGTATATTCTCTACCAGTACAGAAATAATCGGTAGAGAAAAGTTACAGAAACGAGCTACAGACCACCATTTATACTATAAATGTAGCAAAGCTATTTATGGCAAATACTAGATATCAACCTAGTCCAGATATCAACCTCTTTGTAGGCATCATATCAAAGAGATACAGTTTGAAGACTCTAGATGTCGCCCCGCGAGAAGAAGTTAAATATTGCGCCTAAATACATGCACTTTTACATACGCTACAGCGGAAATGGACGACACGCCATTTTTTTTAATGAAATTAACTGCTCTTCTATGTATGTATGTACTATGTATGTTTATAATAAACGTGAGCAAACAACATTTTGCCTGCATTACTTGCGTTTTTTTACTCATTTCCAGTAAAATCCAGTAAAAGTTTTTACGAATTTTCATGTTTTGGCGTTTTCGTACGCAGAAACTTGCAAAGTAGGGGGAATTGAGAGAGCGAAAAATGACAGTTGAAGTTGCAAGTTTTTACTGGATTTTACTGGCTAAACTTTTAGTTGTAAGAATTTGCCAGTACGAAAAACAGTTGATCGCATGTTGCTGGATGAAATTTAAACTAATAAGGAAACTGTTTGTGGGTTTTTATTGTTGAAGTTCACAAAATAAACCTATTTAAATACAAAATATATTGTTTTGTTAGGAATTTGCTGCGAATAAACAACCAATTTATCAGCTGTTCATGAAACTTGCAAATTATTACTGGAAAAGCGTTCACGTACTTTTTTGCAAATTTTTTCTATGAGAGCGAATTCTTAGAAATAAAGTTACTGGATAGTTGCTGGCAAGTTACTGGATAATTTATAAACAAAACACAACTATTGTCTTCTGTTCTCTTTCACTGCAAGTTGAATTATTTTACTATCTATTGCAAAATTTTATACAGACGAGACTCAAAAGAAGAAAACAAATAAAATAAAAGAACTTTTAATAAAAAACTCTTTATAAATGGACTAAAAATTAGAAAATAATATTTCTCAGTTCCATAGAATTTGTTTTGATAACGTTTGGTTTTGAAATTTTAGCAAAAGTCATTATAAACCATTTATGATATTGAAAATGATATGAAGGGTAATATACTTATGTATGAATGTGGATATATGAATAACGACTGCTTAAATTTGAAAAGTCGATCTCAAATTTGTACTTTCTCTGTAGAAATTTTAGGTCTATGTTATTTAGTTTGACCATTGCCAATTAAATCTAATGCTTTGTATCAAGAATGATAGAATGCAAGATTGCGCCTATCAGAGAGGATTTTTGAGAATAACTTTTGTGTGACGTCACACTGGTGCAATTGCGAGAGAGAAATGCCAAAACGTGGACAAGAATGGAAGAAGAAGAAAAAATGTTGCAAGTAAAACGTAAACAAGTCAAATTCACTGAAAGATAAATAGCGGTACCGTGATTGACGCAACCTCTATTTCTGTCAATCGTGGCTTTGTATTGCATGCGCTCCACGTTTTTCGTTTTCAATCTCATAAGGCCCATTCTTTTGCAACCGAGCTACAAAAGCAAACTCGGCTATTTATCCGAGTTCAGCCAGGTCGGTTAAAACATACGCGACCATAAATAAAATTATGTGAAATATTTTTCCTTCTCAATCAAGTGCGGGCAAGAAATGTCGTTTTTAATGCAAATATTGATATGAAATATTAATTTATCTCGATGTTAGTATGTTAATTTAGTGGCCCAAGCATTCGCTGCCATGCGTTCATTGTAGCAAGCATACTTTTAACGTGCGTTCTGTCAAACCAACGCCAACGCCAAAGCCAACGCGAAAGTTCTATGTGGACCGGCCTTGAGAAATATTATTTTTTAATTTTTAAAGTGAAAGTAAATACCATCCATTGCGTCGCCGTCACCGTCACCGTCAGCATCACCATCAAAGGTGCTTATGCGTCAAGTTGCACACTATCCGTTTGACGTTGCGTTCGAAAAATCATAAACTCGCTTGTAATCTTTGCAAAATTTGAGTTTTACTTTAGCAGTTCTTCTTTTAGGTTTGCCTCCGTCATTTTTTTTTAATTTCGTTTTTCCATAATTCTAAAAATTTTTACAAACTGAAAAAAATACGATCAAATATGTAAACAAAACATTGAATAGTTGTCACCTGACGCAAATGCATAAGGAAAGTTGAAAGTTGAGCTAATTTGTGCGTCACGGACTCCATCAGCTTTGTACATGTAACTTACTTCATACAAATAAACCGATTCAACTTTTTTGACAACTGCCGGTCACGGTGACGGCGACACAATGCACGTTATGTACTTTCACGTTTAGTCCATTTATAAAAGGGTTGTATAACTGGGGTTGCCTTTCTATTGTGACCAGCAAGAGAAGGAAGAAGAAAAGCGTTGTATATTAAAAAGTTAATTTTTTTTTTATTTTGCTGGATAATACTGTTACGATTATCCTTGAACCCTCGTCCGGATTACCCAAATATGCTC